TTTGAAATATAACTAGAACCCAGCTGCCTTTGGAGAAAATCAGCTGATCTTCGTTAGTTGGAAAGAAATTAGAGGAATCCTCAATCTTTAGAACTAGAATAGAACCGACTCCCTCCTGAGCTATCGCCAAGGTGAGGTTATTCTTCATCAGATGAGGATGATGAAAATTCTAGTATTTTTAGCAGCTTCTCTCTTTGGGCATAACTTGCCTTTCTTACCCTTTTCATCTTCAATTCTCTGCTTCTCTGGCGTGTCAGTGAGAATCATACACCTTCCAGGTTTTCATCCTCTACCACAAGATTTCCTTGGTAGTTCTCTGGGAAATGGACGAATTTGTTCCGGAGTTACAGCTATCGATGGTTTCAATACACTGCTTGTCGAAGGTGTATCCCTTGATTGTTCTCTGTTATTTTCCCTCTCCTCACTTTCATCCGGCAGTTGGACTTCAGCTGCTGCTGCTTCTGCTGCAGGGTATGGTCTGTTTGTCATTTCAGCAGGTAAAAACTAATCGTCTCGGAACACTTCTGCATTAAAGTGCCAGATGCCAGCAGCCCTAAATCCCGCGGTGATGTTATTTGGCGTGAATGCCAGAGGGAATGCTTTTCCCAACAATGCGGAGACGTCGTAAATAAAAATAAGCTTTCCGGGGTGGTTGATCATCCAATCCTTTGCAGCTTTGTTATTAAAGGCTTTGTTATAAAAAGCCCAAAGACAGACCGGTCCAGTGGCTGGAGTTTATGGCTAGTATGGGGAGAAACGTTTGAAAAACGATGCCATTTTCTTTCGCCAAATTTGTCGCTTCCAATAAGAGGTGACTTTCGTGGTTGTCCATAATAAGCAACACTTCATTGCCACAGAGATAAAATGTTTCAGGTACTTTACAAATAGTTCTGCATTGGACCAACCACTAGAAGTTGCCATACCAAGGGTACCGGGTGGTGCACTGTTAATCATATATTCTTTGTAATGAACACGAGGAAATATGATTACTGGGGGAATAAATGTTCCAGCAGCATTGACGCAAGCTATCACCGTTACATTTATTCCACGTTCTCCAGAGGTAGCTGCTCCAATTTGTTTTGCCTTTATGCTACATAGCACACGTGACGGCGTGTGAACCGTAGAGCAACCAGTTTCGTCAAGGTTCCACACGTTTTGAGGTTGAAGGGAGTACCTTCCATAGATTTCTTGGAGCTTCCCAAAAAATATTTCAACATTTGATTTGTTGAAAGATGTCATTCGAACAAGGCTAGTAGACTCCGGTTTTCGAAGAGATATTGTGGTTTTTACATGAATTACGAAAAGTTCGGTATGCCGCTGCGTATCCACGTTCTTTCCATTTTTTTAGATATTTGACTTTGTTTGCTTCGGCATATTGGAAAGCTAATTTCTTCATTTCTTCCACGGTCAAACCAAAGTTCCATTGTGCAGCCTTAAAAATATATGAAAGAAGTTCTTCTTTTTGCTCAACAGTGTAGACCTTTTGTGTCGCATGGTTGGCTTCGTATTTGAAATTAGTTTGACCAGACAACTTATATTTTGTATGTGCCTAGCAAGAGTGATTTTTGATAAACGATATATTCTCGCCACTTCTCGCATAGACTATTTGTTTGTGATAACATCCTTAACAGCTTCCTCAACATTTTCTGCTACTGGTTTCGTCCTCGTTCTTCCTGTGGCACTTCTGCCCATCTGTAACAGTAGTGAAATTGCATTTATTATAGAAGTTATTTATTTTCTAATTTAAAAAAATTTATTTTGTCAAAAGGTTGTACCTTGGGACACGTCCCAAGGTACAATTCTCAAAGTGTCCTAAGGTGCAACCTAGCACACTTGACAAAATGAATTTCTTAACCTTAAAAAACTAAATTACTTTTCAATATTTTCTTGCATGGACTGCTTGCTTAAACAACACTACGACAGTACTAGATGGGGTAAAGTGAATAAATTATGCTTGTTTGTATACGATAAATCTGACATTTGACCTCGGAACAATGACTAAAATAGTGTTGGTAACATAATATGTAGTTCTGAGAGTTACCGCTAGAGTGAATTTTGTGAGTAACTGTCCCAAGGTAAAACCATCCCAAGCTACAACCCTTTCCCCTACTATATTAACCACCTTTTTTCATGTGCAAATGAGTTGAGTTATTGTCAGTAAACTAATAGTTATAGCTACGTCTATGAGAATGTTTTTTTTTGTAGATAATATAAGAACATTTCTTATCAAAAGCCATTGTATTTAGACATTTATCTAAATACAACGTCCAAAGTGAATGTTTCTTTTACTTTAATGTTAATCGGCTGTGAGCAGTTCTTCTTCATCTGAAGAACACACTTTTTACTTTTTCTAAAATTAGAAATAGCGATTTTGCATTTATTGGGAATTCATTTTAAGGTTTATTTTAATTAGTTTTACCTACACTGACATAGCTTACTTTGGGTAAGCTGTAGCGACTTTAGCTCTAATATAACAACCAATGAAGTGGCATTAAACATTTTTGGACTGGACAAGAAAAAACATTTCTTTTCGAAAATACCTTTCTGGCAATGCTTTTTCGGATCAACTTGAGGTACTTTCGAAAGTACCATTTAATTTAACAAAATTGGGCCTGAAACTACATTACGCCTGACGTGTTTGATCTGCCACTGTATAAAATATGCATAACATTGATTTAAATTGCGAGTTTATCTCACATAACAGATATAATAGCAATTACTTAATGGACAACACTTAATTATTTGGTAAAAACCACTTCGTCAGGCATGAATTACGTAACCCCATGGTTATAATAGCTATATTAGGTATTATTTTTTGTTAAACTGTATAAAAAATAATTAATTCAGAAAACAATACGAACAGGTTTGATATGCGTATCTAAATAGGTAAATAATTATTGATGAAGTTTATTTAAAAAATTCTATTTGACTTTGCTAGACCTATTTTTATTGTACACGAAAAAGTTTTACATACACTGTGACCCAGATTGGTGCTGCATGTATTGTCCATTATTGTGTAGCTATAATAAACGAGATAGAAATAGCAATACATGCAACATCAATGTGGGAATGCCTCTCAAATAAAAGTTTAATTAATTAAATTTTGATATAGTAAATTTACAAAAAACCAGAAAATAGTATATATCTGTTGAGACTTGACTGGACAGATTTGTTGCGAAATGAAAAAAGGAATGGTCGGTATAAAATTTAACTACCATCTAAAGACTGTTACAGCAAAAAAAATCTGATGTGTCCAACACATGACTTTCCTATCTAGTTATTACAGGCTTTTTCCGGTTATTTTGTACAACCTATTGCAGCACCTCTATAAATGTTTAAAGGATAAACTAAATATATACATTTTCCACATACATCTACCTCGAAACATTTTTCTGTAGATATTCATTTAAAACGAAAATACTAAAAAAATTAAATTTAGAACTTTTCCTACAATTTTTCCATTACGGTCCATTTTAGAAAAATCATGTATAAACAAAAATTATAGAGATCGATATCGCAAACAACTTTTATTTCAACAATTTTTATAAAAATCAGAATTTTGCACATTTTGTCAAATTTCTCGAATACGGACCATTTCAGGAAATTTTGACATGAAACAAAAATTATAGATAATAATATTAGAAGTAACTTTTATTTAAACTATTTTTTTTCTTCAAACATAAATAACAGATATATTCCATAAAATATAATAATAATATAATAATAATAATAATAATACTCTCCCTAATTCACCCCCTTACGAGTGAATTTCAACCCCTGAAGTCGACTGAACGACTTGTGTAGGGGAAGGGACGGCTATTATTATTATTTGCCGTTGCAGTCCGGGGTGACTTAAAGATGATTGATGGTGCCATTTGACTTACAGGTGAGGAAAACCCGGAAAACCTCACCCACCATCATATAAAAACGGCCTCCCATAAAGTACCCCCCCAGATGTTCCGACTTTGTCCAAAATCTGATCATGTCACGTCAGGCCGAAATAAAACTTAAGATTAAAATTTAATGTTTTTTTCTTTATCCGTTTTTGAGTTTTCTTCAAATTTAGAAATTTACACATTTTCTCAAATATCTCGAATACGGTCTATTTTAGAACAATTATGTAAAGGATAAAAAATTATAGAGAATTATATTACAAACAACTTTTGTTTGAACAATTTTTATAAAAAAATATTTTTTACATTTTGTCAAATTTCTCGAATACGGACCATTTAAGAAAAATTTTGTATGGAACAAAAATTTTAGATAATAATATAAGAAGTAACTTTTATTTAAAGAATTTTCTTCCCCAAACGTGAATAACAGATATATTCCATAAAATATAAAAATGACTACTTATAAAGTACCCCCCAGATGTTCCGACTCTGCCCAAAATCTAATCTGCTCATTGGACGCTGGAACAAAGCTTAAGTTTAAAAGTTGGTGTTTTTCTGTGTATCGGTTCATGAGTTATGCGACACACAGACACACACACAGACACACAGACACACACAGACATCATCGCGAAAATAGCGAAAACGGATTCAGGGGACCTGAAAACATAAAAATCAGTCGAAAACGTGAGGTCGAAAAAAATCATGATTCCTATACTTTCCTTATATCTGTATTCTGTATACAGATAGGAAAGTAAAAATGATTGTCAATTATTACTTTTGCAGTATATAGATCATTGAAATATAAAACTGGTTATATCGTGTGAAATACCATGTGTAATTCATACTATTTGATAGGTACTGCTATAACTAAAAGGAAGGGTAATTCAAATATAAAATAAAATATAATGTGATCCGTTAAAAAAATATAAGTTTGGTCCATATTGAAGTTATTCAATTTTGTAGTTTAATTAAATATTTTTTAAAGTGCCGGAAACATAGGACTTTCTCACAGTAATGGATCACCCTTGTATACAAATTACCTATTTATATTTTTTATATAACAGTTGTAATCATTTTTTAAATATATAAATATATTTTTTTGTTTAGACCGAACAGGCTCTTCAGGTTTGAAGAACGAGACAAAGAAGGTCAAGTAAAGGGTCACTACGGTTTTTACGACGAAACTGGAAAACTTCAAGTGATACATTACGATGCTCACCCTGATACAGGTTTTCACGTGTCAGAAAATTCATAGACAATAAGAAAAAAAAATATAGATATTTATGGTAGGTCAAAAGAAAGCCAAAACCATTTTATACTTTAAAAATGTTATATGATTTTAAAGCAGCTATTTTGTACTATTTTAAAAGAATATATTTTTGAAAACAAAACACTATATTTCCGATAATAAATTGACAAAATCAAAAAACATAATTTGTAATCTGGAACTTTTTGAAAAGAAGTACCTTGTAATCCGACAAATAATGAAAATGATGAGATAATTTCTATACTGTGCGATATGCAACTAGTAAATTAAATAATACAATAGATAACAGGTTTATTATTTATTATTAGTAACGCAATAGCCATAGCAGTTATAACAAAAAAACTAAAGCTAAACAAACAAGTAACAAAAATAAAAACATAATTATACGTAATTAACATGTCGGATTACAAAGGGATTAGAAAGGGGCCGGATTACTGAGGTTCTACTATATTTAATAATTTTTTTCTTATTTTCTAAGTATTTACTTTCGACAACAATTTATTATTATAAATATTTCCATTCTTGTTAAATAAATTTTTAACTGTTACTTTTTCTTTTTATACAAGAAAAAGTATTTGATAGTAGCTTTTAAAAGTATTGTAGATAAAGGAGAACCTTAAAGGCTGCGTATCCGTTAATGGTTGCATGTCCTTAAAGGCCTTAAAGAAAAGTCGCGGAATTTTGTTCAAAATTATTTGTTGTTTTGTAGAAGAAATTTTCTTCGTATCCTTGTATTTTTTTTTACTTTCGGAGTATCATAGGTATCTGCGCATGCACTCAGATGGTCATAACGTATCGGATGTAAATTTAATCTGTGTCAAAGTTGGTAGGTTAGGTAAGTTTATTTTTCCCAATTTATTTGCAAAGCAACCCACGACGGCTCCATGCCGTGAAGGTTAGGTAAATTAGTAAATTTTTTTATAATTTAATTAGAGTAGATACTAGGAATATATTGTTATCGTCTTTAATATATTTTACATTTAGACTCAACCATATGAGATCATGTGCAAATATTTTCGATAGTGTTTTTCGATCGAAAGTCTGCGACCCATTTTTTCCAGCAATTAAATATTCGAACAAAATATGTTTGAAAAAATTTACTTTCGAACAAAATGTGTTCGAGGTAAATAACAAACAAAATTATTTAAAAAAAAAAGTACAAAATTTGGTGATCCCTTAAAGATTTACCCTTCTTATTGCTAACGGACCATTGTAATATTAATTTTGAAATTTTTTTATATAGGTATCGAAAACCTTCTTAGTTATAGGACAATTTTAGAAAATTCAAAACAATTCTCATTATCCATCAAAATATAAGGTATTCATTTATAATTTTTTTTTATTGACATTATTGCCACACGTAATATTATTTTTGAAAGGGCCGGAAAAAAAGAACGTTTTGAACCAAAATTATGAGTTTACTTTAAATAGAACACCTTATAATTTTTAACATATTCGTAGACCATTTTATCCCTTTCCAAAAATGTATACATTGTCAGTATTTAAGCAAGTTTTTAGGTTAACATTTGTTTGTTTATGTAACTATGTCACGAAGTTCCAAACACAAAATATTACATTTCAATAGCTTATAACTAGAAAATGAGACAAGGTATTGATAACCGGCTTACATTGAAATTCTTAGAAATATTTCATTTTTCTTCTAACATGGTTGTCAAGTCACAAACGTTGTTTAAAATTTACGTAAAAAATACTTTTTGGCACCTAATCTAAATTGGAAAAAGCATTTTTTTGCAATAATTTTAGACGTTTGAGAGTTGGCATCCATGTTAGAAAAAATTGAAATAGTTCGAAAAATTTTATTGAAAGCTGCTTATCGACACCTTGCCTCATTCTAGACTTATAAGCTGTTTAAATGTGATATTTCACGTTTGGAAGTTTTTGACATGGTTTCAAAAAAAAGTATATGGTTCCCAAAAAATTTGCCGACAATGTGTACATTTTTGGAAAGGGGAACACATTTTCTTTCTAAGGTTATTAAATATTATAGGGTGTTCTATTTAAAGTAAACACAATTTTCGTTCAAAAAGGTTTTTTTAGTTTCCTTCGAGAAAAAAAATTACATGTGGCAACAATGTCAACAAAACCTTGAAGTTCATTTATGAAGTATAGTGGAAACTGCATGCCAATTTAAACGAACACCTTGTAGTTAAAAAGTTAACGTTGCTCTATTTCAAACGTTCGCGTAACAAGTATTAAAAATGTATACGTTTACAACTTAAACATTCCTGAAAAAAATTGGCAGAATCTCTTATTTTTGTCAATTTTTAAATTTTAAACTGTCAAATAACAGCTCAAATATATTGTCTTTATTGTTTATTCAATGTTATACATTGACATTTAAGTTAAGAGTTAAGTTTTATTATAAGTATTTTATATGTGATTATTTTGTTGCTCTCCTGTTATTTGTGTGTCATTGTAAGAAGTAAAAAATTTATCAATATTTTATATTATATCGTTTTATTATCCTTTCCATTCATTCTACTAATAAAAAATAAATATGATGTGTACAACATTCGCGCCCTTAGTGCAACAACTAGATAACTCGAAATTTATGCATTTTGAGCAACCAAACCTATTTTTGAAGAGTGACTAAAAACAGATAACTCCCAATATATACATTTTATAACCAGAGATCTTGAGATATCTAGTTTTAGCACTGGTATTATTGAGTTATCTGCCGGCACCTTCTTGGTCGCTATGAGATATCTAGTTGTGTGCTTGAAACAACAGGTTTGTTTCTGTTCTGCTAAATTGTTTTTACGGTGTCTTTTTAAAAGCCATAACTTGGTTAGTGGACAGAAAATATGCTGGTTGAACTTTTCAAAATCGGCGCCATTTATTATTAATTTTATAGAAGATTTTGATGGGGAGTTTAGACGTCTAAATTTTAAACGTAAAACACGCATGTCGTCTTCAAATATTACTCAAGAGCCTCTGTATCAAAGTCAACTACCACTTACAAAAAATATGACGACCTTATGTCTTTGTTCAAAATGAATCCTTCGGCCCTTCCTAGCGAGTATAAAGCATTTTTGAAAGACTTCCATTCCAAGGAGACCAACGTAAACGGCCTTAAAACATGGAATATTCCCAAACCGATAATGACACTTATATTGTATCAAGGGTGGAATCTTTTGGGTTTTATTTAAATAATCTTGTTAATTTTTTATTCAAAATAAAATTGTATTTAATAGGTGATTTGCGTTTAATTGTTAGTAGTTATAAATAGATAACTTTACTATTTTTTCAGCAACAACTAGATATCTCAAGTTTTTGATTAAATTCTGCAACAATATAAAACCTTATGGTTTCCAAAATTAACAAATCATAATTTGATATGCAACATATCTGTATGGATATGAAATATTTTTGATTACTTAACAGGTGTATTTTTGTTGCGTTTTGAATCTTTAAAGTGGATTTTCTCAAAACTATAAATTTCAAGTTATCTAGTTGTTGCACTAAGGGGACGGACACTCCTTGTAAACTCAAAAATATCGAGTACAGCCCATGTAATCAAAAAGAATTTAGAAAAAAAGAGGTAACGAACTTTTCGTTCAAAATGCACACACTTTTTTTCTACGATCACGTTATTTTAAGAAATAGATATAAAAAGTGAAAATTTGTAGTAAAAATAGTGTATAATGTGTTGCCTATATTTGCGTAACATAGGCCTTTAAATGGTTTGCTGAGCGCACGCGCGTCCCCATGTTTAAAAGGCGGCAATATGAAAATTTCGGGCACTTTTTACGAATATAGCCAGGCAACAAGCATTGTCACCTCTGTTACCAATAAAATTAAATGAAAAATTAATTGATGGTGCATCATTAGTGTATTCTACGGTAGAAGCTCACTTAAAACGATGGTTGAAGTGTCATGGACGTCCTCAAGGCGGAAATAAAGCAGAATTAGTTGTAATGACAATTGTAATGACAATTAAAACAGTATTGTTATGTGAATTGATTTAAAAGAATACTGAACGCTCAAAATGATTGTAAATTTTTAGGGTCAAAAACGCAACTCGCAACGGTGTCCCAGTAGATCCAAGTCTAGATAAAGGAAAGTGGTTGAAGCTAGAACAAGACAAGCAACGTAATCATCAAGTAACAAATAATTGTCCTTCGTTGAGTTTTCCCAGTTTTTGGCAAAAATTTTCATCAAGGTTTTGGGAAACTCACAAAAAAATATTGATTCTCCAAGAAGGATTTACTTCCTGTATTACTACGGCATACTCCATATCAACAATGTTTTTTTGCACCTTTTTTATCGGTAACATTTTTAATTTCTATAAAAATACTTGTTCAATTTTTTAATTATGAGTATATATAGATTCATTTAAATTTTACTATTTTTTAAAATAAGTGATTGTAACTACTTTTTTTTAATTGTGTAGAATATGGTGTGTACTGTATGCATATTTGTAAAATGCCCGAAAAACATGGCGGAATTTGAGGCATGCGCAGAAAATATTTTTAATTATTACAAGGGTTATTGAAATTCAAACTTGGATAAATAAACAAACATGTAGCTACATGCAGATAACTTGAAAATCATTTATTAAAAAGAAATATTAATATTTTATGCCTAATTTAAATTATTTTATTTATTGTTTCGGCCTTTACTTGATGAAAATCCATTTAATCTTGAAAGAGTAAAACCAAATTTGGTAGATTTTCACACTTTTATTTTAAAAATATAAAAATTTTTAAAAACACTAACATGACATATGTTTCGAAGTACAACTTCTTTTTCAAATGTGACTAATTTACAAATCGGTATCCAATATACAGGGTGTTAAAAAGAAAGTGTCACAAAATAAAACGGGGGGTAGTATGGGCCAAAATATGCAGAAAAATCTTAATAAACATATGTCCGCAAATGAATGGTTTCAGAGATACGGAGTGTTTTGTATCATTTTTTGATTATCTTTTTTCATTCTTAAAAACTTGCTTTTCTTATCGGAGTCTACCGATGTTTTTTCATAGATACTATTTGCAGTTATTATTTTGTTGTGGGTGAATAATTTTATAAATTTTCGTTATGCCTGTTTACACTAATATTGAATTAGCTGACATGCATTTTATGTACGGTCGTGCAAATGGCAATGCATTGAAATGGAGGGAGGGCACTTTGAACATCTCATTTAACTCTATGTTGTTATTGATTGTTTATAAATATCATTGTTTTTTTATAATAATAAAAAAATTGTTATAAACACAAAATGGTCCGTATCTCCGAAACCGTTAATTTGCGGTCATATATGACGATATTTTTTTTGTTTGTACAAAACGGAAAATAATACCAATAAAAAATCAATATGTTCAAATCCAATGCTTTTATTTTTTTTTGGGTTCTAAATACAATCCGCAACATGAAAATAAACTGAAATTCACAACTTTATTTTACTAAAAAAATTCAAGTAGCCATAATCAAGAAGAACTACAAATAATTTGTCCGGTCCGCACCTACATGTTGGTTAATTAAGTGACATTTTAATAGAGGTGTTTGTTTCAGATCTTTTTAAGGGATATGATTTTGTTATTAAAAATAACTCAGAAACAAAATTGTTTACTGAAAGGTATATATTTACTAAATTAAGAAACTTTTTACGAGGAAAAATGGAACAAATATTTTTATACTTAGTTTGTTAAATTAAAGAATAACCTAAAAATAAAAAACTGTTCCATAGCAGATGAAACTAGGTCATATTTATTAAGTAACGTCTATTTTTTTTTTAATTGCACAGGATTTCTATTGCAACACGCTATACAAAAATGGATGCGGACTTGACTTTCTTTGTGCGGACTGGACAAATTGAGCTACATTAAGCAAACAATTAAATAAAATTAATTTAAACGGACATTAAACATTTATATTTTTAATATTACAATATTAATCGTCTTCGGACTTATTTAAAAGGTCATCGATTATAGCTTCCTCGGGTATAGAAAATAAATCGGTTCTTGTTTTTGAAACGCTTTTAGGTGGACGAGTTAAAATATACAGGATATCTTTAAAATCTACATTTTGAATGTCCGGTCGCGTAGGCCATTTATAACTTTTTCCTTGACGTTGTAAATATTTCACTTCGAGGATATTTTCATTAATAGCTGAAACCATCCCTAAAACCCAAGAAAATGTTTGATATCGTCTTTAAAGATCACCAAAAATCCTACCTGGATACCAAGAGTCTCCGTAAACAACCGCAACCCATGTTCCGACTACTGGAATACTTGGATTTTCCACCTCATTTGGAATGGTTCTATCGATTTCTAAATACATATTTTTGCTAAGGAAATACCTAATGCGCTTTCGAAAATAAATTGTATTTATAAAAATAAAAAAAGGATACGGCTTGATGATGTAGGTGTTGCATTAGTTCCACTGTCAACATGTCCGGGCTTCGGTTGTTTGTCAATAAAAAAATGGCTACATTCTTCATCAAAAGGACAAATGTAACAGCTTAATGATCTTGTGTAAATCGACACTTTGTTAGTGACTTTTCCCCATGTAATTTGGTGAGCTTGTGTTATTTTTTTTATTGGTGAAAACTTATTCTGCAGGGGGTTTTCTTTCTCAGTTTGAATGTTTTCACTAGATACTTCAAATAGATATGTTTTTTTGCATTCAGGTCTTACTAAATTAATAAAATCTCCTGCGCATGTTATGTCGTTTCCTCTCAATACTGTTCTATCTGCCAAGCGTTTTATTGTTCCCCCAATGCCGTCCATCGGACCTTTACCATGCCCAGAAGCGCTGTAATTCCAAGAAACGTCTGCGTTTGGAAATTGTTTTTGCAAATTATTAGCCGCCAGATAAATATTGAACTTATTTTTATACTGTGATGTCGGGCCGTCCGAAAACATGTAAATTTTTTTAATGGATGTACTTTTAATATTTTCTGCCAAAATAGAAAGAACAGGCTTCATATGACACCAAATTGCAGGAGCTTGGTGATCAATGTTATCTGATAAGGTAGCAAAAGAAATTGTCTTATTTTCGTCAAAATGATTTTTAAAATAGGCTACTCCGGTGTGTATCGATATTTGTCTTTTACTTGCACCGAAGTGCATACTTTGGATTTCTGTTTCTAGTTTTGCATAGTAATTTTCTGCAAAATCAATCTGGATCGCCATTTCTGAGGGAACTAAACCAGATTTAACTTTTTCCATAAATTCCATTTGATGATTCATTGTATCAGAATGAAGTTTAAAACTCGGCAGTTCCTTTAAAAATAGCTCCATCAATTCAAGTTTCGTTATTATTAGTGACTTTTTACTGGTTGTTCGTATTAACTTAGTAAGTACCCCAATTTTCCTTTCTTGTTGTTGCGACTTCCATTGAAACAAATTTATAGTATCAGACTCATTTTCTTTGTGTAAAACTAGCTTATAATTACCTTTTGCAATCTCTTCTAAATTTTGATGATTTGTGACTTTTTC